CAAAATGGCTGCTGCACAAGAGGAAGTGAGGTCAGAAGTCCGCGCCCATGGCAGGGGGCGGGAGAAGGGGCATGCGCGCGGGGTAAGGCGCAGCTCGTTGGAAGGGGGAGCGAGGCCGCCATCTTGGAAGCGGGAAAAGGGGAGGCCAGGCGGAAGGCTGGAGTCGCCGCGTTGGAGCCCAGACGGGCAGCATCCGTTTCGTGAGGTGCGATGCGAGCACACCTATCAGGAGCAGCACAACCAGCGATAGCCGCACCAGCGCGTTGCCGTGGCTACGTCTCCGTGTGTTGAGCGTGCTCTTCTCCGCTTGTAAAAGGAAAGAAAGAAAATATTTTGAACGCCAACTGTTGGATTTCCTTGCTCGAGTTCTGACCCGATTTTGTTTCACACCTGTGACAGAGCCATGAAGCGCAGGAGCTGCAGCAAGCCTGCGCCCAGGCAGCAGTGTCAGCAGCAGTGTCACCTGCTCCATGCTCGCAAGGAGGCATCTGGAGTACTGTAGATTCCCCCCCCAGTACAAAGGTACTGACTGGATGGTGCGAGTCCAGCAGAAGGCCTGAAAGATGGTCAGAGGATGAGGGGTCAGCTTAAGGCTGAGAGCTGGGCTTCTTTAGCCCTAGAAAGGGCAGGCTTTGTGAAGACCTTGCTGCTGTCCACAGCTGCCTCCCCACAGCACACAGAGTACATGGAGGGTCAGAGTTGCATAGCAATAGGCAGCAGGCATAGGTTAGAACACAAGAAATTCCAGTTACATAGAAGGATTTTTAATCTTTTTTTTTAAACCATGGTGGTGGTCAAACACTGAAACAAGTTCCCCAAAAAGGTTGTGGAACCTCTGACTTTAGAGTTGTTTTGAGAGCCAGCTGGGTACTCAGCTGAGCAACCTGACCTAAATGGACACACTCTGAGGAAGGGGTTGGACTAGATGACCACCTGCAGTAACACCAGGAAGCCAAAGCCTACAAACTTCAAAGCATTAACAAATACTGACTTACTAATTAGACATAGCTGTCAATCAGTTCCTATAGATCATTAATTAATGGTATTTCAAGCAGATTGTTTTTAAAAGCTCAGTCACTTTCAGCTTTTCAGCTTAAAACTTTGACAGGCACACAAGCAGTGTACCAGGTGCTTTATGTAAGATGCCGATATTAACACGGATTTTGTCATCACTAGCATAGGTAACTTTCAGTGGTGGTTTCAGCCTTCAGTTTCAAAGTATTAAAAACTCATTTCCCTATAACAAGCAGTTTTCCTTCCCCTCCAGCTTCTGGCTTCTTCACTTTCAAGTGTATTTAAAACCCTTCAATTAAATTCTAAACATGAGTAGCTCCCATGGGTTGTTTTTGTTTTTCTTACAGTAAAAAGAGTTTGGAAGATAATGGTACAAATTCCACTAGTCAAGTCGAGCTAGACCTGTCTTAAATGGGTTGAAACCTTCATCCAGACCTGGATCTATTTTATTCATAAACCCCAAAGTATGATAGAACTCAAAATAAAGCCTATAACCTGAAGTGCTCATTACAGCCATTGTGTTAGTGGAGCCCAAAAGAACTGCAGGAAGCAAAACTATGAGAAGACAGCTGCTTTCTTGACTAGTGCAGTACGCTAACAAAGGAAGCCCTCAAAGCTAACAGATACTAAGTTGTGGCATCCATACATTGTGAAGTATTTCATCCAGAAAATAGAGAAGGCTCATTTTCTCCTATGCTTCTAGTAAGTCAGAGGACATTACTTTGCCAAGGCCATTACTGTCCATCAAAACTGTTGGGCACACTATGTAGCATAATCACCAAAGTAGACATTTATACTTCACATGAAGAATTTAACAAATGGCCACTTCTTCTATGGGTGGGAAGGTGTGGAATTACTAAGGAAACGCCCGTCTACATTCTGGAAGTTAAATATGAACCTAAATGGGTTTGATGTATACCATTTGCTGCATCTGCAGGTTGTTCCACCCACTACCGGTGTTGCGAGGGCTGCCAATTAGATCATCGTGGCAGAATGGCCACACTGGGTCAAGAAACCCATTTATCTGAGTGAGTGAGTGCACAGCAGGACCCTCATAGCCATCCTTTTCCTGACAGCAGCTTCCAGCAGTCCATGGTTTTGTTACTTCCTGACCAAGGAATTGCATCTGAACCTTTGCATGTAACAACCACACGGTCCATGAAACCATCCATTCCTTTTTCAACCCATTTCTCCTTTTATCCTCTACCTCTTGCTACGTGTGTTCCAACGCACAGGAAGCGCATTAGCCTTTTTAAGTCACTTACGGACAGTACTGCTTCACACACCCTTTAGTTTGCGTCTCTGAACTTGGAAACATCTTTTTATGCCATTTGATGTAGATACAGAATAAACTTGTGCTGGCAAGAACAGCTTCTCAACATGCTGTGTCTCCCTGGCCATCTGAGTCATTCATTAAGGACTTAGGAAATGTGTGCTACTACAGCAGATTGTCTAAGAAACCAAATGCTTTATGGCAAGATGTTGTTCAGTCTTCAAAACTAGACATGGTTATTTAGTAGATGAATTCTCTTCAGTAAATCTCACACAATTGAAGAAAACATGGAACAAGTCATGAAAGTTAGTCAGATGTTTATTCAGCACGACTAACAGTTTGGCAAGTTAGCGCTTTCCACCAACACGAGGAGCAGAAACCTTGACTGGTTTCACAATCTTCTGCTTGGGTGCTGCCTTTGTAGGAGCCTGCAGAGAAACAATAAAGTATGAGTGAAGAGAAGCAATTTATCTGCAGTCTTGAAAGTGTCCCTGTGTATTTAATATTCTCAACAGAAATCAGGCAACTTAGATCAGATTAGAATTACAATTTATCATACTCAAATCATGTAAACAGATGGTTACACATATACCACTGTAAGCCTGCAATAGGTATGATACCACCATATGGTATTAGTTCATAAGTAATGATGAAATAGATGCTAGCATTCATCAATACATTGTTACTAAGTTCCTAGATAGTGAAGATCTCACGTCCAGACAAGTTTTTAGCTGTCAAGAATCTCTTGGTCAGAAAGTTCATTTGCTGTCATTTATTTCTTCTGTGAAAAGGTTCTTTCTGTTCAGCTGTTTGGGTATATTTAACTTCAGTACAAAAGTTTGGTCAAGGGGCTTCCATATCAAAACAGACAAAGACAAATGGGAATTCCCAATTAAGCACTGCAGCAGAATGTTGTGTTACAACAGAGTATATTCCATCTCCTTATTTCTATCCACCATCTTACCTTTGCAGCAGAAACAGCTGTTTTCTTGGTTGCCTGCTTAGCTTTCTTGGCTTCTTTTGCAGCCCTGTTAATTCACAGAAAAAGAGTAACAGTTATCTCCATCTGCCATTCAGTTTCTTTTTCTCAGCACTGCAAGAACACCAAGATCAAGAACAGAACACGTTATTTCAGGTCTACTCACTGCATTCAGTACCCTCTAGAGAGACTACTACAGAGACAGCAGAGCTGTCTACAAAAGCAGTATTTTCACAAAGGGGAGACCCTTCTCTTGTGCTACTATCTCTTGCTGAGATTACCCACTATCACCTCTAAATATACTGATTAAAAAAAGAAACAACACAAAAAACTTAGAAAACATGAACATTGTCCAGAGTTTAAGGTTTTGTATGAAAACCATTAATAATCTCTGAAAAGCCTGGGATAGCTCAACTTATCAGCATTCTCACCTAATAGCCTGTTCCCTCTGTGCCTTTCGTACTTCGGGCTTCTGATTTCGTTTAGCCATAATCTCAGCTAAAGATGCACCAGTGATAGCTCTCTGAAACTTAACAGCACGGCGCGTGCGCTTCTTTTGTATCTCTTCCTAAAATGGCAGAAGATGAAGACCAGTTAGGATCACAACACATCAAATAGAAGGCTAAAGACAATTACAGAAACAAGCTGCTATAAAGATTGAAGCTACTAGAAAACCATGTACAGAAGTGGAATTTTACTCCTCACTTTGGAGAGCTGATTTATTCATTTGCCAAACCAGATCAGTAGCTTAAAAAGAACAATTTCTTCTCCTTTGCAAGGTAGAAAACCCAAAGTTTTCAAGAAGAATATCCAAAAAGTTCCCTCACCCTCTGACCCCTAAATCATCTGTTTGGAGAAATGATCCACCACATTTTCAGCTCTCTATGCTATCACTGTTGAGGAAGTTTACAAGTTCAAACTTTTACAAAGTCTGCATATTAAACAACATTACCCACCTTGTGCAAAACTGTTTTTTAAAAACATATGCCATTCATACAAGCGTTAAAATCAACAACAAATCTGCGTAAACACATTCACATTTTCACCATTACTGGCCAGTCTTCATGCTGGTTAAATGGATCATGGTTCTGCTAAACACCAGTATACTCAATATAGTTACCTCTATTCTACCAGACCACAACTTTTAGTGGACAACGTTAGAGAAGCATTAGTTGGTATATACTCACTGACTGTCCTTTCTTGTGCTTACGCCTATACAGAACAGTCCAATTGATCTGACGGGGGTTTCTCTTGGAAAGGAACGCAGACTCACATTTTGCATTCAAGAACTGAAAAACCTGGGAAGGTAAAGTATTTTGTGTAAGCTTTGTTTCCATGAAAGACATTATCACAGTTTATGTTAACTTATCAAGTAGTTCTTGGATTCAGTGTTTTTCAACAGTGATGCTTTTGTATTTCTTTACACAGCTCTGACAATTAAAAAAACAGAAGATAGTTAAAGTTTGAAACTTAGTTCCACTGATGAAGCGGATCTCTTACAAGGCATTCTGACGCAGCTTAATTTTTCCAAAGAAAGCTCCAACAACCACTTGCATCCACTGCTGCACTGTATTCTAAGCGCCGCATGAAAAGCCATATCCAGGATCATGCTTTTCAAGTGTCTGTCCTCAAATAACTACGCACTTCCTGTATGTGCGAGTCAAAACTGAGCATAAGGAACGGAGACCAATACAGAGACCAATACACCACCCAATTCCTTCTTCCTTCTGTGTAACTAAGACTAACCTTCTTGCCTAGAAAACTGGCAGAAGTAGCAGGCTGATTTGTTATTAGTTATACAATTCAATTCAACCTTTGAACTAATTCCCAAGAGAGCACCTGAGGATTCAATCAGGCTATTTACTTGGCTGTCTTTTCTATATAGATTCTGTACAGCAAGATGACTGCACCAGGACACCCAAACCCCAAACCCTCCTTCTGCAGATCCGAATAGCATATTTCTATTTATGACAACCTTATCTATACAGGAGCCTGAAAGGGCTCTCCCTACTGTATCCCAATGACCTCTACCCAATCTATTTGCAAGTCCAGTTGTTTGCTTCAGCAAACCTTGGCATTACATGCAGTGTGTCTAAACAGCATTTTTTACACAACTTTGATACTTTCGACAAGATGCCCTTCCCAAACCACAACCTCAAGCCCGACTCCAACTCCCAAGCTAACAGCACAAGCACGGCTCTCCCGCAGACCAGGCCTGACGACAGTCGTGGCATCTGGACACCGACAAAAACACAGCGATGCTATTATCATACCGCTCAAAACGAGCGATTCGGGCAGACGCCACAGCAACGCCACCTGAGACGCCGGCCAACTGCGCGTCCACTGCGAGGTCTTCACTTCTAAAAGCACAGCGCCGGCCTCCCTCTCTCAGGCCCACTGGCCTTCCCCGGCAGCCCCTGCCGCCCGGTACT